CACTGAGTTTGCCAAGGAGTGCTCAGTGCCCCTGTTCCAAACCTTAAGGTTCCCTATGATTCCAAGGGTTACACACACACGCACACACACACACACACACCAATCTGCCTGCCATCCTTGCCATTCTGCATCCGCATCGTAGGGTACCGTGTCCTCAGAAAATGACTTCGGTCTGAACTTCGCAGGGTGGACACTCCTCCCTCGGGTCGAACTTCTTGCACACTTGCATTCTTGGTGCACGTATTGACCAAATCAATCCAATCACAGTGGATGAGACATATTGACCAAACACACTATCCCCAAAATGGAGAATGGGCAAGTGTAACTGTGGCTCAGGCTGTGTCAGGCTTAGGTCACCACTATGGGCTACCCTTTAGAGTCGCTCCCTGGTTTGCAATGGGAGTGTCCTCCCCGTTCTGAACCTCCTATCCACTTGGCTTTCTCAGAAACTCATAAGATCATACCACTGAAGGAACAAATCCTGATCCATCTGGGATGCGAGAAATAACAGAACATATGCCTGACATATGCAAAAATGATGACAACAGTCAAGGAATCTGCTGCCCACGCTTTCACCAAGCCATTGAGGCCCTTCGGCACCGATGTTGCGCGTCACGGCTTGCGGTGTCCAACTGGTTTAGCAAGCGCGCAGGAGCCCCTAGTAGCGTCCTTGTTCTTACCAGTAAGGCACTTGTTACTAGTAGCGATGCACTTGTTCCTAGTAGCGTCCTTGCTCCTAGTAGTAAGGCCAGGAGCCCCTAGTAGCGTCCTAAACCAGTCAATATGAGTCAAACCTCCTTTAACTGCGATCCAGAGGTTCCCCTCCCGTTTTGCTCGACCCCACATGTGCATGCCTTCGGAAAGGCATGAGGCATGCAGGTGCCCCGTTGGTGCACTCGCCTTTTCTACTTGTTCATTCTTTTTGGGATTCCAACTGAAAACATCAAAAAGCCATATAAAAACCAGTCCCTGCCAGTCCCTGCCAGTCTCCCGGTGACCTATACGATGTGGGTCTCCCCACTGGCTCCATGGAGCCAGCGGCGTAGCTCTGAGATCTCTGACTCTAATTCAGACCCCGTTCGTCCCCACGGCTGACTTATGATCATGTATCTTTACGTATGTATACAGTACTGTATATATCTCATGCTGTATATATATTATATATACACGCATGTGGGTCTTTTACTGTGTGCGCGCTCTTACTTGGGTTTGCCCACTGTGACTGTGTGACTGTGCGGGCACTGAACTGACGATCAACCCCAAAAAGTGTCAATTCTCCCGAATTGTTCGAACTCGTGCGAATCCCAATCCGTGAATGCGGTGATTGGATTCACCAGTAATGTGAGTGCATCTGACCCTGTAGGCTTCCTTTGACCAAACTTCTTTGTGGGCTCAGGGAACCTGACATTGGGACGATTCTTCTTTGCAAGAATCGTGTAGCACCACTAGATCAACCTCATTCAATATATTGTCCCAACTCAACATGTCTTTTTTGTGATTTGTGGTTCTTGAGCCACAAGCTGAGCTTATAAATGTCCAAAAAAGGAGTTCACCCCAGGTGCTTAAGAAACTCAAGCGTTACAGCCTTGAAGTCATCAGTTGCACGGCAGCTTCAATTAGAGCCTTCTATTCTTTCAGCCAAACTGCTTAGGCTGCACCCAAGCGCTGCAACCCAGCGCTGCTTCATCATGAAAATTATCCCAGGCCCATGCTTTACTGCCACCTGGAACGATCTGGACCCGCCGGTATGTAGAAAAATGATGAAAAATGCAGGATAGCTTCTTGTTACTAGTAGCGATGCCCTTGTTACCAGTAGCTTCTTGCTACTAGTAGCAATGCCAGGAGCTACTAGTAGCTTCTTGTAACCTTGTTAATGCCAGAAGCTACTAGTAGCTTCTTGTTACTACTAGTAATGCCAGGAGCTACTAGTAGCTTCTTGTTTCTAGTAGGGATGCGCTTGCTACTGGCTCTGAAGGATCACACCATTCCGGAGAGATGATACGGCAAAGTCCATGTGATACGGCGCAGTGGTGTGTTTTCACGTCGCGACGCTGCTGGACCTTCACCGACGTTCATCAATTTGGCAACACTCTGATGGGAAGAAGAATAATTATGTAAATGACCATTCAAGTCCAGTCTAGGTGGCCAAACAGAGTACAAGAAAACCGCCCCACTAGCCACTATACAAAGCAGCAACCAGGCTGTGCACTGCCAGCAAACAAATGCTTTTCAGCGTTGCTCAACCCGGTTCGCCCGAAGTGTCTTTTCTTTTCAACTCCTACAACCAGTGTGATTGGACCGCCGCGGGAGCTGTGAAACAGAGCCGCCTTGGGCGGTTGTCATGACGCCGGCTGCGCCGGTTTGGCATCCGGAGGTCATTTATGATATCATGTGCGAATGTTTGAAAGGCGTTGAATGGCCAGACTTCCCAATGTTGCAACATATATTATATATATATATATCAACATACTGTGTAATTATTTGAACCTGATCGAGGCTCCTCCAGCTTCCAAGCGCTTGGAACCGCTGAGCCACCGAAGCTCACGTGTCATTGTGGAGACCCAAGGTGAGGCCTGGAGCAAACAGCTTTGCTGTGAAGTGAAGAACATGGGATCGAAGAATTCCCGCAACGGTTCCAATGTTCGGTGAAGTATATTCGTCAGGGAAACGAACCGGAAACGAGCCAGGTTTTCGACTATCACCTCGGAGCCCTTGTCGTCGGGAGACCTACGCCGTCGGACCGACACCCACCTGCTGGGCGCGCTCGCCGAAGGTCGTGCCTCGCGCACTGCGCGCCTCTGAGAGCTCGCGCATTCATCGGAGAGGACGTCCTTGCGAAGTCGGGGACGCCGTCGGAGTGTTGTAGCTAGCAAGCTTGGTAAAGGTCCTCGTTGGCCCAGCTGTATCACAACCTGTCTGTATATTATACGAAGTCCAAGACGATTTTACAATGGTCTTTGGATGTCATAATATCATCCACAGGCCCATTCAATATCATTCAATTGTTGGCGATTCCCAATCTGCTAGGTTGTGTCTTGACGTCCCAAAGTGTGCTGTGCTTTAGCAGCAAAGCCTCGTGCCTCCGGCGCAAAGAGAGAAAAGGTGACTCAACATCTGTGGTTGTGACCCACTAAAGTGACCGGAAACTCCACTGAGAAGTCATCTACGATCCAAACACGTGCAGGACCCCGTTCCTAAAATCCCAACAAGCCATTTTCGCGGCTCCCAGACCAAAGCATCCAACCAAGGCCCGGAGGGCACCTCTGGCAAGTCAAGGTGGTGCCGGAGCCAATGTAGCTCGCCTCATCACATGGCACAGCCAAGCAAGTTTGGCATTTGGCCTCCATGTCTTCGATGGCACATGATGCTCACCTCATCTACATGTGGTGATCTTCGTGCTGATCCTTCAGTGCCCACTTCATCCCACCGGTTCGAAACTCCCTCCACACCGCGACCTCGACCACCTCGACCTGCCACCGCGCTTCCGCTGTGCGGCCAAGACACTTTAAGGCGATGTGTCCGGAGTGCGCTTGGACTCTTCAGGGTCGCCTCGGTCTACCAACCCCCCGGTGGCCACCGCACCACCGGTAGAAGGAACACGGTCCTCCGTTTCGAGAGGCTTGGAGGTGGGGTGTGGTGGGATGTGGTCGGGTGTCGTGGGCCCTTGGCCCGAGAAGCCAATGTTTGGCGGGTCCGACCTAATCAGTTGGCGAATGCCCCCGAACACGGAGCGAACAGACCTTCCCGTGACTTACCATCCGCAAAGATCCAACACCTGAACGGGAGCTAGAAGCATGTTCTGCTTTGCGTTTCCAAACTGTTTGAGCAACCGTCATGTCATTTCGGCACACGTCCGTCACCTCTCGTTCGGAGTGCGCGGGTCTCCGCGGAACGTCTCTCACGCCTTGGGGCTGGCGGCCGCAAAGTCCAAGTCCTCCATCTCGTGCGCCCACTGCGCGGTGCGAGCTCCGCAGCGGAACAGAGCTCAGCTGATCCCCACAGTTGGTCACCCAGGTCAACTGCGTCCTAAACCAAGAAGCCGGTCTGAATTAAGCAGAAAAAGTCCTGAAAGCCTTGTTTTCGGAGGTGTTTAGAACCAAACAACCCATCCACCTCACACAGGTCGCGACTGCGGTTGGTCGATGTTCTCAGAAGCTCGTGACCCATAAAGAGGCGGGTGTCCCCCGCTGTGTGTCCTTCAAGGGTTGCAATGCGCCTTTTGTTTGGGTCCACCCGAGTGTTGTTAGAATCTACTACTAACATAAAAAGTGCTTGAGGTGCAGGAAATGCCGGGCCTGGGCCTGGGCATCTTAGCAGTTTAAGTGAGTCTTAACTGCTTCACAAAGTTCCCTGCCGACGTGGAGAGATGTGCTAAAAAACTGCTGGGCAAAGGTCCAGGATGAGTCTTGCTTGCTAGTTGAAGCTGATAGACGTCTCTATCTACTTGGCACTTACGTGCACTCTTGAGTCAAACATAGGTAAACCGATCCTGCCTTGTCCTGAGGGTCTTGATAGAACTTGTCCGAAATGTTGTAGTGTATGTGGCCGTCCTCATTCGGTCCAGGCACGTGGACCGAATCTCATCGCACCGTCCAGATCTTGCACGAGGCAGGCTCTGAGTCAGGAATGATTTCACTGGAGACATGACCCAAGCCCAGGAGTACATGGAAAGCATGAACATAATCATAATCGTTATTTTCAGTATACAGTTAAAGTCGTTATATATATATATATATATGTATATGTATTATACAGCAGTAATTATCTATATATATATATATGTATCATTCCCCATGTCTTCACACCAGGATTCTGGATTCCACAATATACCAACTCTTCGGTCATGTCTCTTTTGCCCAAGCAAAACACGATGAAACGCAACAGCGTAACCTAGCAGCCGACTGCCGTCGTGGATGTTCGCCGGCGTTCTCCGATCCAAAAAAGGGCAATGTCGAATCTTCTCAGGCCGGAATCCTCTGAGCAGCCATACCTTCTGAGCGCCTCGGATCGGGTGCAGCGTCGCTTCCTCCACTTTCAGCCAAGCGTGTTCTCCTGGAAGCTTCACCGTCATCCGAATCTCTTCGGGCGAAAGCCGTGGATCCTCCAGGGACCGTTCACAGAAACTCACCACGTGGCTGCGGACCTTCTCCCAGTCCGTGGGCTTCACCAGCTTCCGCAAGCTTGGCATCTTGGAGTGCAAAGCGGCACGCAAATCCCCTTGTTTCTCACGTTGAAAGTTCAAGTGTGCTTGTGGTAGATCATGGAGCTCTGTGTTCACATCCACCAGCAAAGTCATTTCTTGCAGTGCACTGAGATGGGAAAAACTATGGGTTGTTCCAGAGATCATGGACCTGGTATCTTGATGACTCTCTTCGTTCTGTCTGCTATCCTCATCATACCTGGACATCAAAAGGCTCGCCGGAACGGAATCGTCTGGAGCCTCGGGGTAGATCTGCCGCGATTCGGAGTCTTCCTTGAAGGCAATAAGGTGGTAAGGCTCATTGGCCCCAAATAACCCTGTCCGAGACAAGGTCATCCCATCGCAGCTATTCAACCATCGTCGGACAAAATGTTGACTTCCATCAGTGGAATGAAGGTTGCCAAAACGAAAACATGTGACAGACCCCATGCCTGCCCGGAACGGGTACATGAAAGAAATCTGCACCAACCTGTATGCCTGCTGATCCCCTCAGAGAGGACTGCAAACATAAGGGGAGCACATCGTCCTTGGATTCTGGTGCTCCAAATGCCTTTGTGGAAGACTCAATAAAGTCGCCAAAACGATGATGTTCCTCTTTGGGAAGTAAATGTTGAAATGGCCTGCCTTTGAGGCTGACGTCAAGTGCTTCAAGCTTTCTTGCGCCACATTCATCTGGCTGGCCAGGAGAACTTCACCATCACAAACACCTCTCAAAACCCTCCTGCAGTATTGATTTCATTGAAAGATCGGTCATCGGCAATGTACCCCCTTCAACTGAACAAACATCCGAATAAAATATATTAACGCAAATGTCCCATTCATCCAACCCAACGCCCTCCAGTCGAACAGAAGATAAGTGGACTCTAAATCTCTGCTCAACCCGAGAAGGATCTGCGAAAAGTCCCGGCCTGAAGCTGGTCACCAAGGATTCTGCATCCGCGGTGTGGAAGCGGGCGCGGATGCGTCCACGGAGGAGCAAGTCGAAGACCAGGGATGAGGAGATACTGACGACAAAAATGAAGAGTTGGCTCAAGCCCACCTGCTCACAGTTTGTAGATCGCCCGCCATCAAAAACGAGGTGTGAAAATGGCAAACAGGTGAGCAAGGGTGTTACACTCCGAGTTGGCAGAACTTCTATGACCAACCAAATCTACGAGTGATTTAGATGACCTCGTCAATAAAGAAAATTGCAATGATGTATATCTCGTCGGAATCATCTACCCGGTTGGCCGAGTTCAACTACCGTTGGGAAAATCCACAGCGTTTGTTTGCGGTTTAGGTTGAAAGGTCACCGTTCTCGGGAGAAGGGTTTGATCAACACCAACTCCTTCACGAAAGCTCTGACCGAGACACCGGCAGCAAGTCCAAAGTGCCACCTTCAAAGCGACAGGAATAGATTAAGACTGCAAAGAAGTAAACACCTGGGCCTGGTACATATTGAAGCTCACAAATGGAAGAATCGTCCAAATTCCCCAATCGGGATGGCCAATCCCCACAATACGCCCCAAAAAGCCCGATTGGTCCGGTGTTGCTAAGCTTCCGCTGTGGTGTAGAGCACTTGGAAAGGAATCGAAGTCCAAGGGTCCATGAAACACAACACCAACAAGAAGCGGCACGCTGTGGCGAAGCTTTGCAGCGAGGCGAATTTCAATGAGCTTGAAGACCACGCAGTCTCCACGATCAGTAGGAGTGTGATTACATGCATCAAGCGGGAAACAAATTTCATTCGCAAGGGAGTACATTCCACAAGCTTCTTACATATGCGCAAGTGCAGCAGGTGGCCCAAAGGATGCTCCCCAGACCAGGCGCCCTCAGCGCTTGGTAGATGAAGCCAATGGACACCAACAGACTCAGGTGAGAAAAGCACCGGCTAAACCTGAGTTCAGAGTTCGGATCATGTGGAAACATGGTTTACGGAGCTCCTAAGATGGGAATGACAACGAAAGGAAATCAAGTGTTTCTTCTCCGCTCAGGAAACAAATGATAGTTCCTCTGGCGAAGCTTGATCATCTCTTCCTCAACCCTAAACCCTTTGGACATCCAGGGACTTTGCCTGTCGTCATATGTTGGACGTCACCCGCCAAACGAACCGTTTGGGACCTCCTACCCCGGTGGTGTGACTCCTACCCCGGCAGTCACGCGGTTTCGGTACGCATGCGTGTCACGCAACCGGGGGCAATAGGAACATAACTATACAAAACTCTGAAGCTACTAATCCTTTCAAAACGACCTCAGGTCTCATGCAATATAGTATGTATATGTATGTATTGATTTCGTATTGAATCATAGAATCATATATATATATAACTGCGGGAGAGCCCACACCTGCATGTCTTTCAAATTCCGAAAATCTCGACACTTCCGTATTAGAGTGGGTAAGAGGATGAAGTCCAGGAAATAAGAAACGGAAACGGCTATCTTTACATGGACATGGCCAGAAGTAGTACCCCCACATACCCCCACATTCGGAAGCATCACAATTGATCACACTGACCAAGGTATAAGGTGGCCGTCCAAGCGCAGGGTTTTATACGATTTTGTACGTACATCTCAGGTGGTTGCGAATAGTGGCCACCCAACACCTCCACACCTGTTTGATCAGAAGGCTACTGGCCCATGCTCGCAGGGCCGCCACATCGCCGCCCGTTAAGACCAGATGCGCTGGGCCCCACAAGAGAACCACGAGACCCACCACAAGGGCTGGACCATCCATGGGGCCAAGGGCGACGGGTTGGATACCCTGCTCTTCAAGAGCCACAGGACCTGTGTGATGTCAAAATTCAACTGAAACAAGTAACAGTAACAAGTGCTGGTTATCTGCGTTGAACAAACATGAACAAGCCAAAAAATATCCTTAAGCCAATACGGATCAATACGGGCTTTGCAAACAAGGCGCGAAGCATCAAGTGGCAGTGGCACTAAACTATATATATACTGATACTCTCCTTCAAACACCATCCCCACCCAAGAAGAACGTGCTGGGCAAACGCCATGGGAGGCTTAACGTGAGCTAACTGGTGAGCTGTTTGGTGTTGTTTGCTTTTGGGGCTCAGAACTGCCCCAAGTCGTCTGACCGCTCTCTCCCCGTCCTGCCGGCACATGGCTAAACGGACCATGGCATCCTGGTGGGTCAATTTGAGCAGAGTCATTTCAATTACATACGGTTCATGTGTATAATCCAAATGCTTGGTTTTCTGGAATTATCATTACAAGTATCTGCTTAATCTCAGTAACTGGTGTAGCGAAACGTTTTTCACACGTGAGTGGAACGTCCACACTACAAGGCTTCTTGAAGGTACTCGCTCCAGTATATACATGGCTGCCGTGGTGGGTCGCTGGTCGACCCACGTCCCGGCGGAACACCCTCGAGAGGGTCCCAAGTCCTCCGTCTTGTCCAGCACCGTCAAGCGGCTGGGGCGGTGTAAGCGCACATACTGACGACCAGGGCCAAACCTAGGCAGCTTGGGGCCACAGGGGGTGACTTGTGGGATCCAAAGACACCAGATTTTGGTGCCGCAGTTGACCTGTACGAGCGGCCATCAACCAGCCGGGAGCGGCGCAACCGACGAGCGGCCGACAAAGGGAGCGGCGGAACGGTCAGACCGTTCCAACGATGCAGCGACACCGTTCCAAGATGTGATGAATTCACCCTTCAAAATGATGTTCAGCACTTGGCCTAGTGAATGTCTTTAAAATGTTCTTGAAAATAAACAAAGAAAATGACACTTGGCCCAGGTGGCCATTCAACCAAAGGTTCCTCTGGGAAGCCACTCGCACCAATTCGGGCTTTGGAGGAGGGTTCATGAAGAATGGCCTACAAAGGACATGAACTGTTGTTGCCACAAAGCAATAAAGTAATTTACTGGTGATTCGCCGAGCACCGCTAGGTTTGGGGCTGGACGAATATCTCAAAAACAATTCTCAACGATGTTGGGCCAAAAGCTGATGACCCACCTGGTTGGGAGGGTCATGACAAACTCATTCGGCATGGGCGAATAGGGGAAATCAGAATTTTGAAGGGGTTGAAGAAAGGAACAATCAGACCAAAGGCAAATGGACAAAGATCAGTTGGTGTGGCTTATATAATACATAGGGCGTGAAAAGAAAACAAGAAACTTGTTGGGTGTTCCGTCTTCCCGTCGATCAACCTGACCCTTGTTCGGCAACCGCAATGGGGTAGGTCGTCGTTCGTTTCAGCATTCGGCCTCCATTTGCGGTGAAGAGTTTGTTGCGAAGGGGGCCGGTGACTCGGGGCGCGAAGGTGATTTCATGATGGATCAGCTTTTTTTAGTAGGCGTTTGGGTATAGACTCTGAACCATCTCAGAGGTGTTGAGAGAGTTCTAGCATCATAATTTTTCACTCATCAGAAGCAATCATGTGGCACACCTTCTGAGAAGATTCTAGAAGCTTCCTCAGAATATAAATTAGGTACCCCATCTAAAGATATGTAGAAAACATATAATGGACATATATACTATAGAGAACTATATTGTGAGCTGCAAAATACCCATGCCATAAATTATATAACCACCGAGAACTGCTGCGAAACCGAGTGGCAAATCGAAGGTCTTCGGAAACACGAGCAGAAAGCTGGTGATGCCGATCTGGCTGTGAGCCCAGATCGGAGTAACACATCAACAAGACTGATTCTGTGGACACGCACCAACGGGGGGTGTGGTGTTGTAATCCTATCAAGAGCGATGGATGACTTGGAACAACCCAAACAGGGACGTCCCCGAGTGAGGCGTTCACATGCGGGGTGCGGGTCATCAAAAAGGGGGCCGATGAAAATCCATTCTGGTCGTGGCATGTGTGTTTTAAGAGACTCCCCAACCAATGAATATGTTCGTCGGTGTTTGCTGTTCCCTGGGTTTGGGGGGGTCTCCCTCTTTCCAAGACACGCCCAACTGCTGGCGTTTTCACTTTTAGAAATTACAAACCAACAAAATAGACTGCCAAGGATGTCAACCTGCCCCTGTTTGGTGTGCTTCGTCTTGAACCAGACCTATATTTGTTGTTACCAAAACATTAAGGGGACTAAACAAGTCCAAACCAAACCAGCCAGAAAAGGTTTAAAATGTGGAGCCGCTTGTGAAGTAGACACAGTTCTTGTTCCAACATGTTCCAACTATATATCTATTTGCAGATTGCTATGAAGAAGCCTTGCTTGCAGTTGAACATCTACATTCTTAAGAATATCTTTTTCAGAAGCTACTAGGAACAAGAAGCTACTAGGGGCTCCTGGCCATACTACTAGGAGCAAGAACGCTACTAGTAGCCACTTTGTCACCGGCTTTCGCACACCAAATAGCACCTTTTTTCTTCGACCCTCCGCATCTCACCCGACACTGGCCGCCCACTGGCCGCCGCCTCATAGTGGACCCAGACGCCGCTGCGGCCGGTCCTCGTTTGAAACTCCACCGACAACCTCGGAGCGGTCGGAGGGCAGAAAGTGGGCACCCCGCCACAGGTTTGTGGGAGTTTGTGGGGGCAATGACTTTTATAAACAGATCATGGGATGATCATGGTTCATCTGTAACACCCTTCTTGCTCCTAGTAGCGATGCCAGGAGCTCCTAGTAGCGTCCTTGCTCCTAGTAGTAAGGCCAGGA